TCCAAACTCCTCCATGATATTGCGCCACCAATTGGCGCCCCATTTAACTTGGCGCCCTAGGCGACCGCCTAGTTCTCCTATATGGACAGGCCGCCCCTGAACTCCATGCTCCAGCTGCTGGGATGGGCCACCTGGATGACAGATCGCTGTGCCCTTCTGTTCATTCGCTTTGCAGCCTTTAGCATTGGCCAGTGTCAGAGGACCAGATGGACCATTGCTTTGACCCACTGAAGCCATTCTTATGTTAATCAATCAGTTTAAATGGCTAGTCCGTGATTAATGTCAGTATTTCAAAGCTCTTGCCTTGCCACGAGAAATGGTTACATTTCATTTCAGGTCATCTGCCTGACGGTGCTTGCATCAGTCCGGATCTACTATCGCTATCGGAATGTCAAACCAGTCACTAGGGAGGTGATGATGCGAGACCCGTACGCTCTGAAACCCATTCGCAAATGGATTGACGCCTGTGCCTTTAGAATCTATGGACATTGGGTGAAGAAAGGAGACGCACAGAACAGAGCGGCCCTGTTTGAGAACACTGCAAAGGTGGTTTTGCTGAGTTTACAAGCTGAGGAAGAGTTATTTTAATTTAGTCCCTGAGTAAAACTGCTTCAGCAACATGCTAGCTGAAGTTTGTAAGAGCTAAGGCTTCAAAACCTTTGTTTCCCTATAAAAATCTCAACAGAAAACAATATTAACCCTGTTAGTGTGCAACCCTGACATCCTCATTTGACCTCAGCCCTTCAAATGACTCCCCTCCACACAAATTTCCACAGCCCCACAGAGCCCCAACAAACTTCAATGAGAGTTTTGCCTGATACCTGTGTAAAGCCTCCACAGATTGGCCCTGCCATACTGATATTCAACTTGACATTCAAGGCCCAGATTTTTAGCCATGGCCTCGAATTTTGCATCTGTAATTGAGTGAGTGTAAATATACTCTCAAAACAGGCACGTGACCATCTTAAATGCCAGCATTTGTGCCCCAAATCAATTCCACCCAGAGTGAATTGCAGGCACAGAATTGGCCAGCAAGATGAGGTGCTTTTAAAAAAGTATAGAGATGGGGGCCCAAACAAAATCATAGTTCTGGCATTCAGGTCCAGCCTTGGTTCTGAGCATCACAGCTCTGTCCTTTCTGGAATGCAGAGGGAACCAATAGATAAGCAAAGACAATAGACTATATTTAGCATTTCTCCTACAGGACCCCCCCTTGCTTTGGCAGAATGGATCAGCCTCCCCTGAAATGTGGTAACACAAGGATGTAAATGAGCCCACTCATCCCTAGGTGAAATCTTCTGCAGCAGTGGTAGCAGCAATATAGCTTTCCATTATTACCGGTTGCTATAATCAGGCTCATGTCACTCTTGCTGGTGCACCCTGCTTCCAGATAAAGCCTTGATCCTGTAAGCTAGATGGAGGCAGACCTTTGTACCTGCTCCAGCGTAGTCAGTGAAACACCACGTGGGCACAGACTCAGCCTGGAGGAGAAGCTTGCTGGATTGGGGTCGCAGTGTCTGCCTAAGGTCAGTCTGAGATTTCAAAGCCTCGCTTTTTGCTGGGTGTTGGACATGACCTGGTCAGTGCATTGAATTGTTAGAGGCAAGGCAGCGGCAAAGATCATGAGTTTGTAACACCCTCTAGCACCATCAAGCCAAGTGTGATCACAGCAACTGAGAGGGAGCTAAATTAGCTGGGGAACTGGGTGAAAAACCAGCGACCAGTGTGATGGAATCAGCAAGTCCAGAGAGAGAAGGGGAGAGGCAGAGGGGAACAGGGACAGGGAGCTCCACCACTGGGATGTTTGCAAAATATTACTTACATTCAAAAATGGTCTAGAAATACTTGGTCCTGCCGTGAGGGCGGGGGACTGGACTAGATGGCCTCTCGAGGTCCCTTCGTCCTGTGATGCCATTTACTGAGCTGAAAAACCACACAAAGAAGCTGGGCACACTGTTGTTATAAGGCGGATTTGCTGTTAGAGACCCACGTTTGCAAGCTACTGGGCCCAGCCTTCACCAGCAGGACTTTAAGGTAGGGTGGCCTTATCCCTCATCACTTTTGAAAAATCAAGTCTTTCAAGGCACAATTGCCCCATTTTGGATGCCTTGCTGCAAAGCCTGGCTTTCCATCTGTAAAACGAAGCCCATGCTACCGACCTCCTTTGGTAGGTGCTTTGAGATCCACAGGCGAAACGTGCTGTATCAGGGCTAGATTATATAACTCACTGAGCTCTTGCTTCATTAAGTTTTGGGGCTAATATATTTTCTACTCTGCTTTTAAAAAAATCTCCCCCCTTAGCTGTAGTACAACTGACAGTTTAACTCGGGGTTTAATACAAGCTGAGGAAACCTCTGCCTGCTCGTCCACTTAACCCTGGGAAAAAAAAGTTGTGACCAGTGTTCCCTGTAAGCTGAGCGCTTGGGTGGCCACACAGGAGAGATTCAAATGTCACCCAGCTGATTAGCAGGATGCCCACTGCACCCATAACTGGAAGCCTGGGTTTCTACTGGTGGCAGGGGTGGCCCGTGAGCCTAGGCGAGCAAGGCAGCTGCCTAGGGCGCCGCTGGCCTGGGCGCCTGATCTTCACAGCCACTGACGGCCGTGCAGACAGGGGTGCCAATTGCACCGCCCTGCCTAGGGCACCAGCTGCTGCAGCCGGCCTCGGGCTGCTCCTGACTGGTGGTACCCATCCGCACATGCCATAGATTGAAAAAATTAGCAGGAAAAATGAGCTCGTAACAAAATCCCCTCCCTAGCACCTTTTTCAGTCAGAAAATAAGGACCCATTCAAACCCTCAAATATGGAAAGGCTGCCCCATGTGTGAAAACAGCATATTCATGGGCGTGGCTGACTCCTCCCTTTCTCTCAGGGATGGGGGTCTATTCTGAAAGGCGACTGGCCTCCCACGTCACATTCTTCTTGGCCAACAGATTCCATTAGTCACCGCTAGCCTCAGTTACCTACGTGAGCTCCAGTGTGACAGACGTGTTTCCAAGGCTTTTCATTTTATGCAGCAATTCATTTTATGCACCTAGGTGAGTTTTGAAACAGTCTTTGAGTGAGGGCCAATGCACATTGCAACTAATGTTGACCTCCATACTGCAGGGCTGTGTCTAGACTGGCAAGTTTTTTTGGAAAATCAGCAGCTTTTCTGGAAAAACTTGCCAGCTGTCTACAATGGCCACTTTAATTTTCAGATTTCTGCAAAAGCATTGACGATCTCATGTAAGATTGTCAGTGCTTTTGCGGAAATACTATGCTGCTCCCGTTCAGGCAAAAGTCTTTTTCCGAAAAACTTTTGCGCAAAAGGGGCAGTGTAGACAGCAGAGATTTGTCTGCCACAAAAAAGCCCCGATCGCGAAAATGGTAATTGGGGCTTTTTTGCGGAAAAGCGCGTCTAGATTGGCCACGGACGCTTTTCCGCAAAAAGTGCTTTTGCGGAAAAGTGTCCTGCCAATCTAGACGTGCTTTTCCGAAAATGCTTTTAACGGAAAACGTTTCCGTTAAAAGCATTTCCGGAAAATCATGCCAGTGTAGACATAGCCCAGGTGTATTAGGAGACATTGAAAAAGATAGAGGGACTAGTGCACAGACCCTACATTGGTCAAAACGGTCAATGGGTTCAGTTAATTTATTTCTATTTATTTTAGCAGTGCATCTGTCCGGGGTTTTGTAAACTGTTTTCATGTCAATAAACAGGCTTCCTGTTACCTAACTGGTTTGACGTGGCAGTGTTAGGCTGCTGCCTGGTGTATTCTTACTCTCAAGCTAGGTCATAATATTAGGCTGGGGTTTGCAAAGGGGCCTCAGACATTAGGAGCCCAACGCCGACTTGATGTCAATGGGAGTGAGGTGTTCTAACTCCGTTAACCTGCCCACATTTATAAACCTCAGCCTTATGGCCAAATGCTTGACAGTCACTAAGCAAATCATCCTGCAAATAGCCCCAGGAGGTCACTACATTTTATTAGCCTTGTTTTTGAGGTGGGGAAATTGAAAGAGAGCAGAGGTTGGGGGGCAGATTGTCTTTGACAGAGGCAGGTGCTTTTAAAACAGAAGTTTGATTTAATTCCCATTTTAAAAGCAACAGGACTCAAGATGCCTGGGTGTTGCTGAAAACCCCACTAAGCGTCTTCTGCATCTTGGACAAGGTGGCCACCTGGGCTGGGTCTACTCTGCACTTGCTTCTTAGCGTTTCCCATCCCTGCAGTATGGGGGATGATAGCAACAAGGGGAAAGTGTGCTCAGGGCGTGCCCCACAGCGGTTATTCTTTACTGAGCGTACAACTTTCTGAGTCTAAGAACGGTGAAGCTCTGGAACAGGTTTCCAAAGGAGGTTGTGGAATCCCTCTCACTGGAGGGGTCTAAGAACAGGTTGGACAAAGACTGGTCAGGGGTGGCCTAAATTTACTTGGCCTGCCTCTCTCCTGGGGACTGGACAGGACGGTCTCTCAAGGTCCCTTCCAGCCCTGTGTGCCTATGATTCCGGACACTGTGTTTGGAACACCACTGGCAGGTGTACACTAGCACTCCTGCCATCACTATCACAAGTGGAGCTGAGCCCATTGGGGAATCGTAGGGGGAGAGTGCCAGAAGCAAAGCCAGAGCGTGTCTGACCCAGAGTCGGGATTAGAAGTCAGGAGTTTCTGCCTCAGCCCTACCCGTCTCTCGGTTCCCAGCAGGAACAAGTGCAGATCTTGCTAACAGGAGTAGTTCTTACTCCTCTGCAGCCAAGGCCTGCAGTCCTTCAAGTAGAACCCCCAGTTTTTTCCAAAGGAATTTTACCCAAATAAGGGCTAAGCAAAGGCTGGAAAAGTGGATTCATGAGCAGACTCATCCACCGCCCCGGAGCTACTCCTGAGTGTAAGTGTTTGCAGGACTGGGCCCACGCGGATGGCTGGCTGAAGTTGGCTGAAAAGAAAACAGCAGCAGTATCTTAAAAAGTCAAAAGGAATCAAGACAATGACAGAATCACCCTGGGGGTTTAAACCCTCCATTTGAAATGGAACATTAGCCGCAAATGTTTATTTTTTAAAACTTGCCAAACTTCAATTCAACGCAGTTGCAGGGAATCACCGGTGTCTCCACAGGAGAAAATGTCTCAGGGCCATTCTGATAAGTGATTTCATCACAGCTCTGTTTTATGCTCAGTTTTCCTGGTTTTCTGACTTGGGATGTTGGCAGCACAGCGGAAACTCAGGTTGTCCGAGGCAGAGTCTGGCGTGTTTCCCATCCTAGGACAGGACAAAACCAACCACACATACAAACAAAAACACCCAACACCCAACTCCAGTCAGTGGCATAGAATCCTAGGGCTGGAAGAGACCTCAGGAGGTCATTGAGTCCAGCCCCCTGCCCAAAGCAGGACCAACCCAACTAAATCCAGCCAGGGATTTGTCAAATCGGGACTTAAACACCTCTAGGGATGGAGATTCCACCACCCCCCTAGGTAACCCATCCCGGTGCTTCACCACCCTCCTAGTGAAATAGTTTTTCCTAATATCCAATCTAGACCTCCCCCACTGTAACTCGAGCCCATTGCTCCTTGTTCTGCCATCTGTCACTACTGAGAACAGCCTCTCTCCATCCTCTTTGGAACCCCCTTCAGGGAGTTGAAGGCTGCTATCAAACCCCCCTTGCTCTTTGCTTCTGCAGACTAAATAAGACCAAATCCCTCAGCCTCTCCTCATAGGTCATGTGCTCCAGCCCCCTGATCATTTTGGTTGCCCTCCGCTGGACCCTCTCCAATGCGTCCACATCCTTTGTATAGTGGGGGGCCCAGAACTGGACACAATACTCCAGATGTAGCCTCACTAGTGCCGAATAAAGGGGAATAATCACTTCTCTGGATCTGCTGGCAATGCTCCTCCTAATGCACCCTAATATGCCGTTAGCCTTCTTGGCTACAAGGGCACACTGACTCATATCCAGCTTCTCATCCACTGTAACCCCGTCCTTTTCTGCAGAACTGCTACTTAGCCAGTTGGTCCCCAGCCTGTAACAATGGTTGGGATTCTTCCGTCCCAAGTGCAGGACTCTGTACTTGTCCTTGTTGAACCTCATCAGATTTCTTCTAATCTGTTCAGATCACTCTGGACCCCTATCCCTACCCTCCAACGTATCTACCTCTCCCCGTAGCTTAGTGTCATTCGCAAATTTGCTGAGGGTGCAATCCGTCCCCTCATCCAGGTCATTAATGAAGATGTTGAATAAAACTGGCCCCAGAACTGATCCTTGGGGCACTCTACTTGAAACCGACTGCCAACCAGACATTGAGCTATTGATTGGGCCCGACAGTCCAGCCAGCTTCCTATCCACCGTACAGTCCATTTATCCAAACCATACTCCCTTAACTTGCTGGAACATTGTGGGAGACCGTATCAACAGCTTTGCTAAAGTCAAGGTACATCACATCCACTGACTTCCCAATGTCCACAGAGCCAGTTACCTCATCATAGAAGGCAAACAGATTGGTCAGGCTGACTTGCCCTTGGTGAATCCATGGTGACTGTTCTTGATCACTTTCCCCTCTTGTATCAAAATGAAAAGGAATCAAAATGGATTCCTTGAGGATCCCCTCCATGAGTTTTCCGGAGGTAAGGCTGACTGGTCTGTAGTTCCCTGGATTATCCTTCTTTCCTTTTTTAAAGATGAGCACTACAATTGCCCTTTTCCAATCATCTGGGATCTCTCCCAATCTCCATGGGTTAATTTGGTTGGATTGGTCCTGCCTAGGTCAAGGGGCTGGACTTGATGACCTTCTGAGGTCTCGTCCAGCTCTATGATTCTATGCAATTTACATAATCACTGACAAAAATGAGAATTTGTTTGTATGATTTAAAACAAATGAACATTATTTCCTGCCATGACATTTTACTGTTACCATTTCTATCCTTATCAGTGGTTTCCCCTTCCCTCTCATAGCTGTACTGGCTCTCATGCCCTAGCTGCCATCTCTTCATTCTAGAGTTGGCTACTGTCCATATAGAATTTGAGAAGTATTTGGGGGATTTATTATTAATAATAACGTAACCTTCATATTACTTAAAGGTAAATAATTATTAAATAGCAAATATCAAGTAGATTTATTCTAAATCATTTGCTATGTAAGAAAGTTTATGTTACTCTAAGCCCTCTAAAGTGGTGCAAAATAGCACTTGGGCACAGCAGTAAGTCAACCTACCTAGTAGTGACATGAGCTTTGTGATTGGCTGATCCATCTACTGTGTCAATCCAGGAGGCACCTCGCAGGACATGCATTTTCTGACCACGCTGCCTTGACGCAGGTCCATGAGGCTGATACTCTGATGCAGTCCATTCCCAGGTGTTCCCTAACAGGTCATAGAGTCCTGAGACACAGAAATTGCTCATCAGGATCCATTGGAGGACGTGATACTGTCAATACAAAGCCCTTTTGGAAGCATTTTGGTGCATCAGAAGGGGATGGTCTAATGGGGATAGCAAGTAACCAGGAATCAGAAGCTCTAGGTTTTATTCGCAGCTCTAAGACGCACCCACCGTGACCTCGGGCAGATCACTAAACTTCACAGTGACTATTGGTTTGTGGGGCAATAGCACCTGCTTACTTCAGAAGGGCATTGTGAAGCTTAATTAGATAATATTAATGAAGTGCTTTGAGATTCTCAGATGAAAGGGCAAAAAGTCATCAGGAATCATTACTATAAATCATTGCATGCAATGTCATGCTTGTCATGTCAAAGCGTGTCATGTCAGCCAATTTAACAGCATTCAGAAATATGAGTGTTCCCAGCGGTATCACATCTAGATGCCAGGGAACTCGAGGTCGGCTTAGGTTTTAAATTCCACTCACAATCTTTGATTATTGCTAAACTGAAATTAACCAAAGAATTCATTTGCAAATTGGAGCAAAGGCACCTCCTAGTCCATACCATAGCTGTTCTGAGGCGGGAATGCTTTCACTGGGGAAATACCATGGTAACCATCCTCGGCCGTATCAACCGTTGGGAAGACTCCCTGTGTGAAGAGAGGATTGTAGGCTAAGAAAAAAACCAACAACCTAACAAACCTCCCCCAGGATGGTATAGAAAGGCGCAAACTGGCTTGTACTTTGCAAAAGCTCCTCATGCTTAGAATAACGGAAAGGTGTCTAACTGTCGTAAACGATACAAGGTGACAATACTTCAATATGACAAAGCACTAGCTCAACCAGTGCAAGGGCTGAAGAGGGAGATGCCTCCCCTATGGGTGCGTCTACACTGCAGGGTTTAACTCAAAATAAGCTACACACATTGAGTGTAGCTTATTTCGAAATACAGGCAGTCCCCGGGTTACGTACAAGATAGGGACTGTAGGTTTGTTCTTAAGTTGAATCTGTATGTAAGTCGGAACTGGCGTCAGCCGCTGCTGAAACTCAT